AAAAAAAAAAAAAAAAAAAAAAAAAAAAAAAAAAAAAAAAAAAAAAAAAACTCATATTTGCCCGTAGCGACCACGTCGACGCCGTCGATAACTCAGCTGGCTACGTCCGACGAGGTGACCTCGGCTACGGAGTTGCAGGCGTGCCGGGACATACACTGCAACTTCAACGCCACCTGCGAATTGGGCCCGGACAAGTTTCCGCGTTGCAGCTGCAAGTTCGATTGCGGCTCCATGGCTCCGGAGAACATGCAGCCGGTCTGCGGCAGTGACTTGCAGACATACCCGAGCAAGTGCCACATGCTCATGCAGGCTTGCCAGAGACAGCAGGAGCTCAGGCTCAGGCCCCTCGACCTGTGCCAAGGTTATTATTATTATTACATCCTCTTTGTACACTACTGTTTGCTTTGCGTCTCTATGTATACGGTAGCTTGGTCTTTTTTACCTGGATTTGTATCGTTCCTTTACTTTCCGTTTATTGGAGTGCGGTAGTTTTGAAAGAGCAACGTGCACCTCAGCAATTTTATGAGGAATTTTTATCAACTATTTATAACCAGCTTTGTGGAATCGTACAGTTTGAAAAAAGGTAGATTGATATCTGTCGGGTATTATGTACTTGGATTCACTACACTGGCTTCAAAACATTTGATCCAAGCCAACATTTTAGTACCACAACTCACTCGAACTTGTCGCATTATAAGATTCCAACTGAGCAGCTTCCGCTCACGGTTACACGAGCTCTCCCTCGCGATTAAAATCTTCCAAAGTACGGCTGGCCATGGCACTAATGTAACTTTTGACGTGTTCGTGGCGCCACCGATTTAGGTTTGGAGGTGAAGCCGTGCAACGGGGAGCAGCCCGTGATCGACGACGAGGGCAACGAGTACTACTGCGGCAACGGACCGGATCGCCGCGACTGTCCCAGTCACTCGTACTGCCACCAAACCCCTAGATTCGCTCGCTGCTGCAAGAAAGGTGAGCCCAATCTCATTGTACTAACATTACACGTTTGGCAATCCATACTATACACGATTGGCACGATGAGAGATCGGTAAATAATAAATACATCGAGTAAAAATAGTAGCAGGGAAGCAGGTGACGAGGTGCGAGGACTCGTGGCACGGCTGCTGCCCGAACGGCAAGACCGCAGCCCTGGGTCCCAACGGGGCTGGCTGCCCGGACGTATGCAGCTGCAATCGGCTCGGCAGTCTGGCCGACACCTGCGACCCCGAGAGCGGCCAGTGCAGCTGCCGGCCCGGGGTCGGTGGGCTCAAGTGCGACAGGTGCATGCCCGGCTACTGGGGCCTCTCCAAGACCGACAAGGGCCACAAGGGCTGCATACGTAAGACTCGCAATGTGATCGGTATCCTTAAAAAATTATACAGGACGATTATTGAAACGGCGCGCGACTTTTGCTTGTGTTTTTAGCTTGCGGCTGCTCGCTATTTGGCTCGACGCCGCCTAGTGTTTATTCTTTAATTTGGTCAGAAAATTATCCTGAAATGAAATGGAAATGATCCTAAAAAAAAATTTTAGTTACCTATTTATTTTATTTTATTTTGTTAAGGAGCACCTTGAGTGATATTATATATTTGGCAGTGATGTTATATAGTCTGGCAGTTGCAGTATCGTATGAATATTCAAAAATTTCACGGCGATCGTAAATTAATAATATACGTGCGTATGTAAACATAAACTGTGAAAATCGTATGATAGCATTTTTGAGGTTAACTAAATACAATTCAGCTATCTGTGATTTTAAAAGCTTTAAAATAGCTATTGCAAAGTGAAAAATTAAAACTCATTATAAAACACATTAAACGTAGTACATACTTAAACACAAAATTTTCAGATCCTCTGTGTTTTGTTGTATACGAATATTACACACTCCTTCTGCCCACGATTTATCATTCTCCATGAGATGTACGTAACTTCTCTTATTTCTTGGCATTGTTTTTAATCGTTTTGTTACGTTGTTATAAAATTTATACCGCAATTCATTCTCAATCTTTTTTCTTAAGACATAACTAACTTTAATTTTCCACTGGGTAATTGAGTATTCTAAAACACAAGTTTTCTGTTCTTCCCACGATAAGCCTTTTTTACTGCTTACTAGCAACAAAATGTCCTTTATTTTGAAACTCAAAGTACACATTATGAACTATGCGTAAACATTAATAAAAAAATGTACATGTAATTTTTTTTCTGATACAGTTAAAAAATTATTACGGTAACTGTCTCCAAGATGTTATTAATAGGAGGATACTATAACAATAGATTTCGTACGTACTTAACGCGTTCCCACCAATATTTTAGACTACATGGAAATTGGAAAATAATAATCAATATAATATTTGTAATAACTTTTTTCGGGAAATGCGGGTCGACTCCGATGCATTGGTATTTTAAAAAAAAAAATTTATCAATATATATTTATATTGTTAAGAAGAAAACAAATTCATGGACATATCTTTCAATAATTGCATCTGTACTTTTCTATGCGTAAGTGCCTACTTTTCTTCTTTATTAATCAAGATATTACGTACAACGGACAACTATGACGTTGGTTAACAAATCAATGCCTTATTTATTTACAATCAGCTATTACACCCAATTTGAATATTACAATAATTATTTGTTAATGAACAGATACTTGTAGATACGAAATTTGTTCCTCTTAGTTAATAATATGTATTTCTTCAAATATTCATTTATGGCGTCATTAGATTATAAACGGGTTACGTTCTATTCATATGTTATAATAATTATTTGTTAATGAACAGATACTTGTAGATACGAAATTTGTTCCTCTTAGTTAATAATATGTATTTCTTAAAATATTCATTTTTGGCATTATTAGATTATAAACGGATTACGTTCTATTCATATGTTATACTCAGTTTACCCTTCCCTTTAAACCCCATGTCTCATGCGTTATGAGACAAAAGACAATTCGCCATTTTGTATCGGCCGCCATATTGTATCCTGAATATTGTTTCGTAACCTTACATTTATTGTCTTTCAATACCAAACACTTACTTAGAAGTTCAGCCTACTGAAATATCTGAAACTAGTTCTAAATTTGATCCGAACGTCGGAATTTCACAACTTACTGAAATTTTCCCTGTATATACGCATATATTTTTTAACATCACTTCTCCAAGGAAATGGAATCATTGTAGGTTTCGATGTAAGAAGTAACGTAAGCCAAAAAAAACCTCAATCCAGTTAAAATTCAGTAGAGGCAGAGATTGTGAGGCATTTTCTGGCAATTTTTCTAAATTTTAGTCTGCCATCTTGAATCCACCATCTTCGAATCAGAAAATGTGACCTCAGATTCGTAATCAGAAAACCCCAAAACATTAACATCTCTAAGTTAGCAGAAAACGGGTAATTTTCAAAAATTTGTCCACCATCTTGGATCCGACATCTTAAAATTTTTAATTCTGACCTTCGATTCCTAATCGGTGAACCCAAAAACCCTTGTTTACCAATTTTTGTACAATTTGGTTTATTTTTAAAAATTTTGACCGCCACCTTGGATCCGCCATCTTAAAATTCTGAATTCTGACCTTCACTTCGTAATCAGCGACCCCAAAAACTCTTGTATACCAATTTTCGTACAGATCGGTTAACTTCAACAACACATTATGTATCCTGAGTATTTTGACTACCGAAAGCTGCTGTATATATACCTTTTTTTTTTATATTATAGTGTAGTGGCCTCATAAGAGGTATTTACACTAGTAGTATATATACCTGAAATACAGACGCCACATATATATCAAAAATAGTGAAACGTCCAAGGAACTCGGATCCTTGTAGCTTAAGTTCTGAGGAACAAAATAAGCCTAAAAACGTTTAATTTGAGTAAAAGTTCATTGGAAGTACGAATTTTGAGAATTTTTCAGGCTTTCTGGACCACTGAGCGATGGCTCAGCGATAGTCACAGTCTCGTCGATCACTGACGTTAATCAGCATTCGGCGCAGTTAGTACTTGGATGGGTGACCGTTCAAGTCGCGCCATTTTGCTTTTGCTGTTCACTTCGTGGATCGATTGACTGTTTCTCTGTCTCTTCGACATTGTGAGCGAGAGGTGTGCCAAATTTCTTCCCCGTTATCTAAGTCTGCAGCTTTGACAGTGGGTCAGAAATAAGGCAGATAAACCGGGCTGTTCCAGATCAAGTTTTTCTTACGAGAGATCTCCCGAGGTTTTCCTGATCCACGGGACAATCGTCATGGATGAATGTGGAGCAGTTGTTTGGGCCCTCTTCCCTTCCAATCCCATCCCAATCCCAAGTGTTAAGTGCCCTGAGTAGTGCCTCTACAAAAGAGCCGGACGTAAAGCACTATAATATATACATACGCCATTCTGTCGTAACTTGCTGAGATCGACTTAATAAAAATTGTTTAAAAAGCAAGTTGGTTGAAAAAAATTTTTTTCATGGTATTTCTACTGTACACAACATCAGTAACAAATATCTAAAGCCATGAAACTACAAGATTAACTAGTCACAAGTTATTCAAAATTTTATAGAAGTCAGTTTTCATCAATTTTTAAAAAATTTTATCTCTTTCTAACATGTGTAGCTAAGCTCCTTCAATAGTTCGAGTGATCTTACTAGGCTTAAATAAAAGCTAAGGTCAAGACCTATCGATTAAGGAAAAGTTTTGTTCGATTTTGTGCCTCCATTCAAAAGTTACAGCTGTTTTAATTAGAGCGTAAATATCGCTAATGTGATTTGGGCTAAAATTCAGTATTCTTCATAAAATAACTATAACTTTTTATTCGGGGCATGATATTCAAAGATTTGTATTTTAATTATCATGACTATGTTTTTGCTTTCATTTAAGCCCAGATAAAGCCACCTAATTGAGTGTACCACTTGGCTACCAACGTTGGAAGTAGCACCACCCTTTTTTCATTTATGTAGCGAAAAGAGGCTAATTTGACAAAACCCCGGGACACGTGTCTCGTCTTTTAGCCCAACAGTAATGAAAAAGAAGTTTGGCTGAGATTGATTGCTCTAAAACGAAAAAAACGGAATGGAATTTTCAAAGTTTATAGTGCTCGTATGACTTATAGACGTATTACAATGACTAGCCCACCCATACTTAATTTACTAGCCTCAAATGCAATAAGAAACTGTAGTTTGCGTACCTGCACACGCATACTGAGTGGTTGTTCCATAGGGGGTTGGAATGGAATAAAATGATTGTTCGCACGAAATATGAAAATAGAAGACCTTGGCTATTCGAGATAACAACTTCTGGTACTCCTGTCGTAAGGATTTATTCATCTTAGTCCTATACTTTGAAAAGTGACCATTGGTTAGCATTTCTAATCCAAAAGTTACAAATAAAGACTAAGGTACAAATCCTATCGCTAATAGCTAAAGTATATAATGCTTACACACCTAAGCGGCAGATAAGCCTTATTTTTTACCGGTGAAAGTTTTTATGAGTGAAATTGAGTTGCGGACATGGGTTGGAATGAAAAATTTGACTCTAAATGATCGATTATCCTAATGAAGAGATCAATTTATTGGTATAAGTCAATATGTCAAGTAAAGTTGACAACACTTAACATAATTTCACGTTTTCAAAGTTTTGGATTTCATTATGGCATGTGAGTACGAGTACCGGACACGATCTGAGAAAGTTATGGCAGAATCACTTATACATATATATATTATATTAGAGTGCTCTACGTCCGGCTCCTTTAATAAGGGAACTACTACGGGCACTTAGCACTTGGGAGAAGGAAGGGAAGAGGGATGGGAGGCCTTCCATTACTGGAAGGGGGTTAGGGGGAGATTAGGCAATTTTTGCCACGAGAAGGTCGCCTAAACCCTCCTCGAGGAGCATTGCGTGGTGAAAAAGCACATGTAAGAAATCACAGAGGTACTTGCTCGAAAAAGTCGCACTGGCCGGAAATTGGACCACGGTTTCCCGCGTGCCAATCCACGACCTAGCTGACTGAGCCACCGCGCGCTCATGTATATATATATATTAATAATATGTATTTCTTAAAATATTACATTTTTTTCATATTTGTAAATTTATACTCGTTTGTGAAATTCTTAGATGTGGCTTTTATAGTTATTTATAGAAAAATTGCAGTTGTTCTCCTATCGAATTATTATACTTTGTATTATTTTATCAATAAGTTGCTTGTATTACTGTATACTGAATATACGTAAGTACACTTATAAAACTTATTTAACGAGAAACATTAGAAGTAACAAATGTATCTGTAACAATTTAATACATTTATAACTTGACTAAGAACATTTATTTTGCGAATTCATCAAATTAAAAAACCGTAGTTTACTTTTCAACAAAAACAAAATTTGGAAAGCCCCTTTACTTTGTTTACTGGCTAATGCAATATTACATAAATAGTTGACGGATTCAACCATTTACAAGCATGATCTTCTCATGTACAAGTTGATACTGTTATGTATTATCATATTGCATTTTCTACATTTTGTTACATAATTGTTAATGCGTACTA